AAGAGGGGAGCTTGATATTAGATATAAGAAATTGTATTGGCTGATTGGAAAAAATTCAACATTGTCAATTCAATAATAAATTATCCATCTACAAGCAAGTACTGAGGCCAGTATGGGTATATGGGTGCCAACTCTGGGGCTGTACCAAAGCTAGTAATCTACTATATTATCCAGAGATTTCAAAATAAAGTACTGAGAACATTGTTGATGCTCCTTGGTATATCCGTAACAGCAACCTCCACCAGGACCTGGGTATGGAAACTGTGATCGAAATAATCAAGAGAACAGCAGCAAGTCACGAGCAGAGGCTGCATAGTCATGTGAATGTCGAGGCAATCCAGCTTCTTGACAACACTGAACTAAAGAGAAGAGTCATAAGGACAAAACCATTTGAGCTAGTGTTAATGTGTAACAGTTTAGTGTAAAAAGCAGAGTATAGTGCTGATGGAAGTTATTGCATGCTAGTTGTAGTGCATTAGTTAATAGATAAAATAAGAGTAAGTCATAGGGTAAGCACTTAGATTTAAGTATTTGCTGTTATTATGTTAGGTCAGAAAATAACCCATAATTGGTCACTTTGTGGACCAGGATAGCAGTATACAAACACCGCGCAGGCGTTAAAAAATTATATACGATCCCTGAGTGAAAGATTTTACCTGCCGCAGTTGTTATGGTAACAGTGATAATTGAAGAATCGGCAGCTAACGAAATATACATCTTTCAAACAATATACGGTGTTCATCGCCGTATCTCACGACATGGCAGAAAATATTAATGAGAAAATTGTGGGGAAACTTTCAGGTTTATTTCCCATTCAACTGGACGAGGCGACTGTAGTAATGAAATGCTCAATTGATATGTTATGTACGGTGCCAACAAGAAACAAAATATATGCGAGGATTTGTCATTTTGCAGAAAAATATATAAAAGTTGTAAAGGTACTGATTTATTTGAACTTTTAAACTCATATAGGTATGACTGAAAATAATATTAACTGGAATAATTGTGTAGGCGTGTGTACGGATGGTGCTTGAGCGATGTCTGGAAAGTATGAAGGACTACAAACTCTCATCAAAAACAGGCTTTAAGTGTTAAATGGACACATTGTGTCATACATAGTGTCATGGGCCTTAGCAGCAAAGAATGTTACTCCTGAATGTGAAAGATATAAGAACTGATCACGATAAATCATACTTTTCCATAAATTTGTGAAGAAATGACGACCGAGCAAACCTCTTTAATTTATTATTGCAATTCTCGTAGGCTGTCCAAAAATGAAGTAGTCGCACGTGTATACGAATTAAGAAATGAATTTTACACGTATCTACATACGGAATCACATGGTGATGCGCAAAACTATATTAATTCAGAGTTTATAATAAAATTAGCAGTCTGTGGCATATTTAACAAATTAAATGATCTTAATAAGTCTTTGCAGGGAAACAATACTCATATCCTCCAATTAGCAGAAAAAATTACTGGGTTTCAGAAGTTGCTCTCTTGGAAGAGAAAATTAGAAGATCAAGAAATTGACTGTTTCCCTGCTTTACAAAGTATTCTACAAGAAAAATCGATAGAAATCCTTGATCCCTCTTAAAAAAATATGTTTACACAACGCATGATATCACTAAGAACACTTTGAGAAATATTTTCCCGAAGATATGGAGCAATATAACTGGGTCAGAAACCCTTTCCTGTCATCCACACCATCGACACTTTTAACAGAAAAAAAGAAAAACCGACAGAATTATCCTGTGATTCCAGCCTAAAGCTTTAATATTACAAGGACAAACTGTTTGAATTTTGGAGCTCACTTTCTCATGAATATCATGCCATCAGCACTGCCGCATTAAAGGTTTTATTACCATTTGCAACTTTGTACTTATGTGAAATGGGCTTTTCTGCAGTTGTAGTAATTAAAAACAAGTACAGGTCAAACATAAACTTAGAAAAAGAAATGAGAGTGGCAATTTTCAAAATGGAGCTCTGGTTTAATAAGCTGTGCTCAAAAAAGCAAGCACAGCCCTCACATTAAACAGCCAGTTACATTAATATATATATCCCTTTTCATTTTTGTGCCTATGTTTTGATTTCATTCTTAATTACTCATAAAAAAATATAAATGCTCAAATAGTGTTTCTGTTAAAACTATTAACCTGTTACAGGCCATTACTAAAATTGGTAAGTATTATTGAGCTTGTTTTGAGAGGGCGTCGCAAAAAATAACAAAGTCCCAAGGGGCGTCACAGTACGAATAAGTTGGGTATGCCCTGAAATATACCATGAACATAATATCGTAAAACATATTAATATAGGACGTCTGAGGTGGATAGGACATGTAATGCGGATGAAAAAAAATAACCCTGCTAGAAAAATGTTCCTTGATAGACGCATTGGTCAAAGACCAAGAACAAGGTTCCTTGATAACATCGATGAAGACTATAAGAAATATGGGAAGACTTGCTTGGCGGAGAAAAACGATGGATAGGAACGACTGGAAAGTCTTTAGGAGGCTAGGATCCACGTAAAGTTGTAAAGCCAATAATGATGATGATGATGAACACACTCAAAGATATTTATATATTTTCAATGTTTAGTTGGAGTAACACTGAAGTAAATGTAGACATGATGTTGATAACAGCATCAATGTACTGTTAGGGTATTAGATAGTATTTAAGATATTTATTTAGTAGTATTTCCAGTTGGCAAATGTCAATGAATGACAAAGATATTCGCATTTGGAGTTCACGTTTTGACTCCATAACATCTTTCCTTGGGCATAGTATATCTGCACAAGTACTTGTAGAGAAAACAAAGTCTCTTTTATCCCCGTTCTGGCTCTAAATCAAAATTGGTCGTATCCAACTTCTTCCTCACATTTTTTGTATAATATTTTGTGAATTGTCGAAAAAACGAATGATTTGTCAAGTAGCGTCAAAAAGCAAAAGATAACAAAAATAGAGCAAACCTCTTACCTCTAGAGGATAACAAATCAAGCAGGATGCACAAGAAGGACAAAGAAGTAAAACCGGACCCTAAGAAAAGAAAAAAAGGATAATAGAAAAAAAAAGAGGCAATTTGAGGAAAACTGGTTAGAAAGCATAGAAGTACTGGGAAATCAAAAAGAAACTCAAAAGTTCTACAGGGTTGAAGATGGGTTGAATTTTTCGACGGTACAGTTAATATCGAAATAATTGGAATCTATTCAACTCAAATGAGAGACCACCTACCAGGAGGTTGTTTAAGCCATACAAAGTTTTAAAAGAATATCACCAAAAGCTTTAAAATCACCAGAAACTGATCAAATTTGCATTGAGCTCTACAAAATAGTGGCGACGCCGTGCTACACACACTGTATAAACTTTTACTTCTTGTCTAAGAAAATAAGATGACTGTCGAGATGACCTATGAATGGTCTCACGGCGTGATATGTCCGTTACATAAAAAAGGCGACCAGCCTCAGTGTGACAACTAAAGAGGAATAATACTTTTAACAACTACTTACAAAATATTG